TAGCAATATTGCAACATTCTGCTGTGTGGTCTGGATGTCTGTAGTAGGGCTAGATACTGCACTTTCCCCTCCCAGGTGCACTAAAGGTTGAAAACGCAGAGCTTTCACGGTTTTGGATGTGGTCTGGATGTCTGCAGTAGGGCTAGATACTGTACTTTCCCCTCCCAGGTGCACTAAGGGTTTAAAACGCAGAGCTTTCACGGTTTTGGACTTCTACCCTTGTAGGTTATGCAATAGTCACTATTTGGAGACATGCCATTTAGAAAGGGATCTTTATTCTATTAGTATTTTTTGAAAAAATACCCTTCTTGCTTCTTTTTTAAAGTTGTCTTTCAATGAAAAGGTAATAAAGACTCAAGTATGAGACCTGCTTGTAGGTAGGTGCCAAGTATATTCTTTGTGCATTGTATTTATTATGTGCTGTTCAGTGCTGTAAGGGTTGACATGCTGTTTTTTTCTGCTTTTTGGCCTGTGGTGCTTCCCATAGGATGAGCATTTAAGCACAAAGGGGTTAAACCAGGAGAGGTTGCAGATTGGTCATGGGACAGAGAAGGGCCATACACGGAAGGTAACGCTGCATTTAAATGGGGTCACCCTTTGGTAGGAACCTGAAATGGGATTGTGTCAGGAAAGAAAAAGTGTGCCCAGGTGCTTAATAGTGTGCCAATGCGGAATACTCATCAGCTTTGCATGTTTGCGGACAGGTGTGAGCGCCAGCACACATGCTTGCCACCAGACTGGTGCCAAGCAGGATATTTAAACAGCACAGCAACCCTGGAGCTTTGCTTTATGATATACAGCATTCTGCTGCCTGCTACCTGTTTCTGTGCTGGATCTCTCGTTACCGACCTGATCCATCTGACTACGCTTGAACTCTGCCTGAACAGACCTCTATCTGGCCCTTGACCACATCTCTGCCTAATCCTTTTGCCTGTCTGCTTACCGTTGCCAACTCCTGCCTGAACCTGACTACTCCTTTGCCTGCTGCTCTGTTCCTGACGTGCCTGCTAGTGACCAACCCGACTTGTCCGACCCTGCTCTATGTGCTGAAACAAACACAGTAATAGTGCTACTACCAATGCATCCTCAATTGAGAAAGGGTGCCTGATCCGCAGTTGCTTGACTGTATACAACAGTTCGGTAGGGAAGGCCCTGAGATGCTCTTTAAATGCTTGCATTTATTAAAAGACCACAGTATAAAAGTTGCAGATACAGAAGGTTGACGCGTTTCAGCCTACACAGCTTTAGTCATAATGTGACTAAAAAGCCGTGTAGGCTGAAACATGTCAACTTTCTGTATCTGCAACTTTTACACTGGTTTTCCAATAAATGCAAGAATTTAAAGAGCATCTACGGTCATGCGGATCCTTCCCTACCCACCTTCTCTTCATGCTGCCTGGGACCTGCCAGCCTGCCAAGTGCCTGCTGCCCTGTGACCTGCTAGCCTGCCAAGTGCCTGCTGCCTGTGACCTGTCAGCCTGCCAAGTGCCTGCTGCCTGTGACCTGTCAGCCTGCTGCCTGTGAAGTGCCTGCTGCTGCCTGTGACCTGCCAGCCTGCCAAGCCTGCTGCCTGTGACCTGCCAGCCTGCCAAGTGCCTGCTGCCTGTGACCTGTCAGCCTGCCAAGTGCCTGCTGCCTGTGACCTGCCAGCCTGCCAAGTGCCTGCTGCCTGTGACCTGCTAGCCTGCCAAGTGCCTGCTGCCTGTGACCTGCTAGCCTGCCAAGTGCCTGCTGTCTGTGACCTGCCAGCCTGCCAAGTCGCTGCTGCCTGTGACCTGCCAGCCTGCCAAGTGCCTGCTGCCTGTGACCTGCCAGCCTGCCAAATGCCTGCTGCCTGTGACCTGCTAGCCCACCAAATGCCTGCTGCCTGTGACCTGCTAGCCCACCAAATGCCTGCTGCCTGTCCATCAGCCTGTTGTGCCTGTTGATCTGTGTCATAGCTCTACCTACATCCTGGTGCATTCAACCTTTTCATTCACAGCCATCATCACTAGAGCTGCCAGGCACTCGTGCCACTCCAGGCTCTCATGCCCCCTGTTGCTTTGCCAGGGGTACTGAGCCGGAGGTGTAAAAGATTGTCTTTCTCTCCATGTCAGGCTCTATCAGCAGGTACGTGACAGATTGACAAGGCACCATTCGAAGGGAACTTACCCAAGGAAAAGGTATGAGACACCACAGCATAGCCCTAAAGATCTTGACAAAAGTAAAGAAGAACGCTGTTCACTAATGTAACCTGTAATTGCTGGAATGGAATTGTGTAAAGAAAAGTTATATTACTATACCATTTTACTGGGGATGGCTTGTAAAGTGAATCGTCTGGTCTGATTTTTGGAAATGTAAAGTAAGTGAAATATTACAGTGTATGGGAATGGGGAAAGAAGTGTATGTCTGCATGTTTAACTTTCTGAGTAATGGAAAGAGACAAGTAAAAAGAAGGAGAAGCAGCCAGTTCAGGAGTGGAAGCGATGATGGCTGATGATGGAGGTTCTGTAGGAGGGGTGGATTGGTGGCTGTATGGTGTCAGGAATCAGCACCCAGATCTATGTGGCTACACTAGGAAACTGGAACCAGACTGTATAAACTTTAAGTGAGATTTATTTACAGTAAATCAAAATCCATCCAAAGACCAGCACACAGCAAACATAAAAATATTAATGAACCAAAACCCCTGTGACAGAATACCTGACTAATCAATTTAACAAACAGAAAGCCAAACCAACAACTAACTATATATGACATATACAAATTGAGAAACACAGGAAATCAATGGAAAATTGGAGGTGCAGTGAGTGTATGGGAAAGGAGATCCAAAACTGTGATCAGGAACAAGGGGGGAGGGGGCAAGAACAAAGCAGCACGGTACAGGGTACAGGAGCAGGAGCAAGATCAGGTTCAATGGCAAAGAACTTGGCAGCAGCAAAACACTGGAGTGAGAGGCACTCTAACAGAGGAGGACCTAAATACCATCCCAGCAGCCATAATCAGGTGGAAAACAGATTAATGGGACCCGCTGGCTGCTGGGAGTCACCTGTTGTTGGACACCAAAACTACAGCCTCCCACTCTGGGAAGCACAAAGCCACCAGTAGGTGATCCAGGTCCTGATATATGGTCTACCTGACTAATCGATAGTCAGGATCCACTGCATAGTAGACCTTTCCTATGAACTGGGCCTAGACCACCAGACCTCATGAAGTATAAAGCAGCTTCCCCCCATGCCTTCAGGTTGAAGCAAATAAATTGTAAAATGTAACATACTGTATGTGTAGAACAGGTGGAGGGAAATCAGTGTTTCCTGCCATTTCACTCAAAATAGCTTTGTAGTCAGTGCAGGGACAGGAGTCACTGCCGGTTGTAAAACTTCTGGTTTGAAGCCTGGTGCAGCAAATTTGCTTCCAGTAATAAGAGGGCTCCAACTCACACATTTAATGGTACAAAATGGTTATAAAAGATCATAGCATGCAGTTTCCCCATGCTAATGACCAACATTGTGGCTCTTTGTAGATCTGAAATAAGTGACTTTGAAAAATAGTCACAGCTCCAACTAATAGCACTGTAAAACTGCTACTTTATTATACAACTATTAAAAGCAACATTGCAGGATTACCAGTTTAGAGACTACAGTTTACTGCTTGAATCATGGGAACACTGGGAACACCAACTCTGAGCTCAAAATCCACCTAAGCATTTCCTTTCTTCCTATCAGTTTACAGCTTAAATATTCCAACTGCAAGCCTTGTTTCAAATTTCAATTGGTGTTTAGCAGAAAATACTAGTAAAAATTACAAATCATTGCATGACTTCGTAAGCGTGACTATAGAACTAAAGGGTGTTTTTATATAGATTAACTGCCTAGGGAGATACTTTAAAATGCACCAACAATGACAAGTCTGTGCCACTCCTATCAAACAGAAGAATCATATCTTATCTCTCTGTAAGTGCTCTGTCATATTCAGCACCTGAAGGGAAATGAGGATCAATAGTTATCTGTCTATATGACTTCCAGGCTAAAAATGTTGCACTCCGGTCTTCAGCCAGTCTTAAGGGGAGTTATAACCTTGAGTTATTTATAGGTGCCAAATGTTCATTGAAAGAAGTGTAGATAATTTGAGATAACTGATAAGAGTTCAAAGGTGTGAGCGAGAATAACCAGATGCCGCCCAAGACAGACTACCCATTGTCAGGCACCTCGGCAGCCACGAGGAAAACCTTAACATTGCTGCCAGGCAGCTAAATACACTTTTTTGTGTATTAAAACCACTATTATTAATATTATTATTTCAGGTACTTATATACCGCCATCAATTTACGCAGCGCTTTACATATATATTGTACATTCACATCAGTCCCTAACCCTCAAGGGGCGTACAATCTAAGGTCCCTAACTCACATTCATACATACACATACTAGGGACAATTGAGACAGGAGCCAATTAACCTACCAGCATGTCTTTAGCTAAGGAGAATATGTGTTAACCTCCCTAGCGGTCTGATTATGTTCATATTTCTGTGCTCAAAGCGGTACATTTTTTTGCATGGAAATATATATTTTTTTATTGTAGGCCTGTCATTTTTAGGAATAACTCACTGAAATCTGTCCGAACAAGAGTCTAGTAAACATCCCGGGTATGTTAAAATTTGAAACACGAAATCATAAATTATAATTTAATAAATAATCATAAAAAATAATAATTTAATAATAAATTTAATTCAATAATATAATCAAACCAAAAACACTGAAATTTGAAATATAGCGCCAAGTTCGCACATCACTGAGCAAAGTCACAAAACCATTTTCAGTGTCTGATGACGAATTTCCCCACGAATCATTATCACTCAATTCTGCAAGTGGTTCTGATTTACTATCACTGTTCTCTTGCTGATCTAAAACCGATTTTACACTGAAGGGACGCTTTTTGGACGCCATGGACGTTTCTCAGTTTCCAGGCAGAAAGAACAGTAAAAATGCAGGCAGAGCACAGGACAAAGCACTCGGGACAAAATGTATGTGAAATGGTTTGATATAGTAATGTTTTACTATGTGATTTTAGTGAATTTAGTGAATGTCACTTTTTGTCATTTTCAAATTTCCCGCTGTTCCATCCCCGTACATCCTGACGACGCAGGGAACGGAACCCAGGAGACGGATGCGGGCATCCGCTGGAGGACATTGCCGGGGACACTGCAGGAGGGACATCGTGGGAGCGCAGGACAAGGTAAGTGCAGAACAGATCCCTGAGCAGCGCCGCATGGTAAGCCCGAGTGTAGCTCAGGGTTATCGCTTGTGGTACTGAAACTTTACCCCGAGCTACACTCGGGAATACCGCCAGGGAGGCTACATAATGAGCACATTATTGTGATCCAACGTTCCCTGCTGTGTTATAACCAGGCAACTAGCATTTTCAGGAGTTTTGCAATGGCTGCCTTCATATTTCTTTCTGTACAGGTTTCCTACAAATGTGATTACAGCTTTTTCACACCATATCACATGCATTAGTGTATGTTCAACACTAATATGCTAGCATGCATTTTTTAACTTTGTCGTACTAAAATGCTTTTATATTTTTTATAATAAAAAATGTATTTTTATGATTCTAGCCCTCCAAATTGTGCCGCACATCTCCTATTTTTTTTCTGCATAAACCAACTGAACTGAACTTATAAGACATTAGAGAAATTGGATTTCTGTTGGGTTGAGACTGCATTAGGCAACTCTATTGTGAATGAGCCCTTAGAGGTTTATTTATAAACCCTTCCCCAAGTGCTTTTATTTATTTTTTTTTTTTTTGCACTTTTTTGGTGTTATCTTGTTAGAATACAACAATTAAAATGTCAAACTTGTTTTCTTTTACTGCAATGTTGCTCGCCAGGTCCACATGTTTTCATTCAGCATATTTTAACATATTTCCCCCCCTTCCTGACCAGGACATGTTTTTGCGTTACGGCACTGCACTATTTTAACTGACAATTGCGCGGTCATGCGACGCTGCACCCAATTAAATTTACATCCTTTTTTCCCCAAATTGAGCTTTCTTTTGGTGGTATTTGGTCACCTGTGCGTTTTTTTAATTTTTTGCACTGTAAAAAAAAAAAAGACCGACAATTTTGACAAAAAAAAAAGCTATATATTTTAACTTTTTGCTATTAAACATGTCCAGTAAAAATATTAAAAAAAAACAAATTTCATCATAAATTTACTTCAAAATGTATTCTGCTACATGTCTTTGCTAAATGCGGTGGGCATTCTGACAGTGGGGGGAACTGACTTGGTGTTACTGGCATCCCAAGTGACACCAATACAGTGATCAGTGCTAAAAAAAAAGCACTGACACACTGTACTAATGGCACTGGGCAGGAAGGGATAACATGAGAGGCAATCAAAGGGTTAACTGTCTTCAGGGAGTGTTTTTACTAGGGGGCGGTGTCTGTGTGCCATCCAAAGCAGTGTGCCCGAGCTAACAGGGAGGAGAACTGTTAGTAAACAAAACAGTTTCTCTCCTCCTCATTGGAGATCATCGGAAATCATTGGGGCGCCGGCGAGTAATCACCGGCCAGGACCCGGTGATTGACAGCCGCCGCGGCCGCAAAATTGAAAAAATCACATATATATATACGTGATTTGGCACAATCGTGCCACCCTGTAGCAGTATTTCTGCTATAGGGTGGACAGGAAGTGAATAAAGTATATGTAGACCCAATCACTGAGAGAAAAAAAAATTCCTTTCTGGGTGATCAATGTGCATTGCAAGGATTTTAAGATTCCTCCATTTTGTCATTCTGAAGAAATAGCTGTTTGTTTGTCTGTGCAAAGTGAGTCTAATGAGAGTGATTTTATAATTATCAATAAGCTGCTGCACCTGCAGGGCTCTGATGAGGAAAGTGGCAGGGTCTGCATCCTTTAGACATGATTTCCCTTTGGGAGAATCTCACCAAAAATTAGATTTTTGTTGCAGGATATGCCAGAATTTGATTTGTATCTTAGTGCAGACTTTTGGGAAAATCAGTAAGCCAATTACACAAGGAAATTACATTTCTGGGGGACATTTTGTACACCAACTGTGTACAGAATTCCTCCAGGTTGCCATATTGTATTGAATTTTACAGAGAATAAGGCTATTTTCACACTGATCTGCCGCAAAAACACAGCAAAAACGCATAGGCATTTTTACCACGCTTTTGCCATGCGTTCTGCACCAAAAACACTTCTCAGAGGCATTTTTCAGGCACTTTTCAGTCATTTTCCATTGATTTAAATAGGAAGTGATGCTTTTGGGGCATTTTTTTTAACTCACCAAACATGGCCCAAAGATGAATTTTTACAACGCTCCGCAAGCGCAACGCCTCAGTGTGAAAACATACATACATATACATTCACATACATAGGAAAGCATTTTCCATGAGCTTTTTAGGCTCTTTTTTTAACACAAAAATGCTTCAAAAAACTCCTCAGTGTGAAAGTAGCCTTACAGAGGTACAGATTGAACAGCAAAGGTCATTTTTAATAGCATTCAATAATAATATGACTTGTGTCACAAATGTATACACTATATTTTTTTATTTTTTTTTACAATTTTTTCCCCACAAAAGTGGACATATGGCCATAGTTTTTTAAAAAGCAAAATTTTGCATTTGTGGAAATGCGTCCAAAAGCATGCATTTACAGACACCAGTACCGGCGTATTTTACTCTGTATAGCCATATGTCCTAATAAACAGCTGTGTGCAAAAGCCTCAAGGGGCACTGTGCTCATAAATTAATAAACTTGCAACATGAAATAAATGTATATGGAAAATGAATTATAAAAGGCGCTACTCCCACCAAAAATAAAAAATGATAATGATGAAATTAATCCTAATACTTACAATAATGTGCAAATGAATAGTGCTAAAAAATTCATAAAGCCATTATCTCTACACAGTAAAATAAATTATCCCTAAACAACAAATAGTGTCCATGAAATAATAATCCATACAGTGATTCCATAAGGAATCTCCAATAAGTTGGAGTTCATCAAGAATGAGTTGAAGAATTTTAAAGCACTTTCACTGAGGAAACAGCTGGATCAAATTTTTAGATATGAACAATATGGACTGTGATTGAGTTTTTATATCCTTTATCGAATTTCACAGGACTTGGATCGCACATTTTTTAATAATTGATATTTCTCAGCACTTTTTGCACATATTTATCCATTATTATGTATGTGATTTTTATTGCACTTTATGTCTCATTTATATAATAGTATTTGTTTTTTCTATATTTATTTAATAAACAGTGAACAACGCAGGGGGTGACAACAGAAAACCCTTGAATGGAATCAGGAGAAGCAGTCCTTCAAAGTGTAAAGTGTTGTATGAAAAATGAATTATAAACTCCCACCAAAAATAAAAAATGATAATGATGAAATAATCCCAATACTCACAATAATGTTCAAATGAATAGTGCCAAAACATTTAAAAAACCATTATCTCTACGGAGTAAAATAAATTATCCCTAAACAACAAATGAAATAAAGAAATAATAATCCATACAGTGATTCCATAAGGAATCTCTATACACTGTGTTGCTGAAACCAGTGATTATTATTATTATTATACAGTATTTATAAAGCGCCGATAGTTCACTCAGCGCTGTACATTACAAAGGGGGACAGAACATGTGACAGAACAATACCAATACAATGCAAAACATGAGGGGATCGAGGGCCCTGCTCTTTCGAGCATACAATCTAGAAGAGACGGGATAGTGGTACAGGAGGAGATAGCTGTGGGGGATGGAGTGGTAGGAAGAGTGGAGGAGGTCGGCAAGTTAGCAGGGGGTAGGCTTTCCTGAAGAGATGGGTTTTCAGGGTGCGCCTAAAGGAGGAGAGTAGGTGATAATCTGATGGGTTGGGGAAGGGAGTTCCAGAGGATGGGTGACACCCTGGAGAAGTCCTGGAGGCGGGCATGGGAGGAGGAGACCAGGGAACTAGAGAGAAGGAGGTCTTGTGAGGAGCGGAGTGTGCGTGCTGGGCAGTACTTGGATATTAGGTCGTTGAAGTAGTTCGGGGCAGTATGGTGGACAGCTTTGTACGTCAGTGTTAGGATTTTAAATTTGATCCGTTGCGCAATCGGAAGCCAGTGGAGGGATTGGCACAGGGGGGTGGCGGAAACGGAGCGGTTGGAAAGGTGAATGAGTCTGGCAGCCGTATTCAGGATCGACTGAAGCGGGGATAGCCAGCGGCGAGGCAGGCCAGAGGGAGTGGATGAGCTGTTTAGTGGTTTCTGGGGTTAGGAACGTGCGGATTTTGGCGATGTTGTGAAGGTGGAGTCTGCACGAGTTTGTTAAAGATTGGACTTGGGGCTGGAAGGATAGGTTGGAGTCCAGAATGACACCAAGTACTCTGGCCTGCGGGGCGGGTTTGATATTGGCGTTGTTGGATGTGATGGAGAAGTCAATGGGGGGTGGGGTTCGGGCTGGGGGGAAGACAAGAAGCTCGGTTTTGGAGAGATTCAGTTTAAGGAAGTGGAGCGACATCCAATCTGATATGTCGCTCAGTAGCTGTGTGATTCGGGCAGAGACCGAGGGGGTGAGGTGGGGGTTTGAGAGATAGATTTGTGTGTCGTCGGCATAGAGGTGGTAGTTGAAGCCGTGAGAGTGTATGAGTTGGCCAAGGGAGGAGGTGTAGATGGAGAAGAGAAGGGGCCCCAAGGACAGAGCCTTGAGGGACCCCCAACAGAGAGGGGGAGTGAGGGGGAGGTGGTAGCATTATAGGTAACGCTGAAAGAGCGTTGTGACAGGTAGGATGAGAGCCAGGAGAGAGCAGAATCTCTGAGGCCGAGGGAGTGTAGTATTTTGAGGAGGAGGGGGTGGTCAACTGTGTCGAAGGGCCGCCGCAGAGAGGTCAAGGAGTAGGAGCACTGAATAGTGGCCATTAGCTTTGGCGGTTAGAAGGTCGTTGGAGAGTTTGAGTAAGGCGGTTTCGGTGGAGTGTAGGGGACGGAAGCCAGACTGTAGGGGATCGAGGAGGTTGTTGTCGTTGAGGTGAGAGCATAGGCGGGTGTAGACGAGGCGCTCGAGGAGTTTAGATGTAAGTGGGAGCAGGGAGATGGGTCTGAGGTTGTTCGGGTCATTGGGGTCCAGGGAGGACTTTTTAAGTATGGGGGGTTATGTGTGCATGCTTTAGTGGGGAGGGGAAAGTGCCGGAGGAGAGGGAGAGATTAAAGATGTGGGTGAGGGAGCGTAGGATGGAGGGGGAGGGAGGTCATAGGAATTGTGAGGGGATAGGGTCGAGGGGGCAGGTGGTGAGGCGGGCATCAGAGAGGATCTTGGAGACTTCCTCAATGGTTAGTAAGGTCAA